TTACCTCTAATAACGAAGTTTTGTTATAATGAAATCCGCAATTGTCCGAAAACATTTATAATTTCTGAAAAGTAGTCATTAAGATTGAATATATTAAATAGAGTTATGGTTGTAATAGAAGAATAAAATTAATTAATAAAACTTTTCTTTGATTCTAAATAAGCTTTTCATTTTCTTTATAAAAACAATGTATCTTCATTGTAGATTTATTAGGTTGGCAACTAAGTGATTGCGTATTGTAATTAAGAAAGAAAATTCAAAATTTTTTCCAAGCTGTTTTAATTTGTTTTGAATGATTGTATGCGATACATTGAGCTTCTCTGCAATCTCACGTGCTATGACGATCTGAATCGATATGGGTCTCATCAACGATATGGCCGTTTCGTATTTTTCAGTGAAAAATCACGAGAACGAAATTTGGCAAACCAATTTTGACACTGCTTTTTTTTTCAAGGCTTCATTTCCATAACTTCTTGTGTGCTTGAGATGCGTTCTTGCCTTTTAAATTGGCATAAAAACAAAACTAGATGGAAGTCCAAACAATAAGAAAATAATATGTTAGGAGCTTTGAACACGTTGATAAAACAAATGAATGTGCTAAGACCGAATGTGACAAAATCCGCAATCACTTAGTTGCAAACCCAATAATATTGTTTACCTCTGAAAAGTAAATTTAATTAAACAAAGAAATATAATGGAACGCATCTATTCGTTAAAGGAGGCAAGACTGTACATCATAACCAAATGAAATCAAGTAACTCTATTATACAAAATGCTATTTACCGCTTTTAATTTATTTAATAAAAAAAATGTTGAGAGAAATCTTTTAGCAATTACAAATATAATAATTAATTAATATATGTTTAATACTTTCAATAAATAATTACTTTTAAGTAAATTAAATCTGTAAATGCTTTTTCTTTTACGACGATCGATAAAACCTAAAAACAGTTTCGTGCCGTAATCTGAATGCAGTATTACGCATCAGGTTATGTAGCCACAGACACAAGGTCAGTCTGGCCCCTAGTAAACTTGAACCCTAGGTTGGTTGACCGGATGCATGCGTGCATTTTATATTATTATGTTTTTTTCATATACGTCTGTTTGAAAGCATTTTTCGGGGAGGCTCCCCCTATACGATTTGATCCCATATTCTTTTTTTGGCGTATGCATCTTCGATGCCAACATTTTGTCGACGAGGGGAACCTTTTTTCTCTCTCACCCTTCTTTTTTTTTTTGTTGTTGTTTAGCACCCTCCGCTGGCAATGCGCCAAGCCGGACTCGTGCGCCTCTCAGATAATCTTCCACCTTATTGTTCTCTAATGTAATCAGTAAAAAAAGGGTTCCGAAACTAGTTTATGTTTAAATTTTTATTTCATCCGAATCGATACATTTCTCACAATAAACTTATGCTTCAACAAAACACTATTAATATAACATGATTTCTTGAGAACTATTATATCGATTATACCATGACCTATGCCTGCATTCCACATTACATAATTTTAGAAGACAGAGAGCAATCGTTCTCGCATATAATTAAAGCATTTAAATAATCAAGCAATTATCATGAATGTAATTATTCATTTGTTTTTCATTGTTTATAATTATTAAATGGGGGAAAAGCCTGAGGTCATAAGTGCTTTAGCTTCTGGCATAAATTAGTCATCGATTTAAATGTTGTTTATAATTTTATAATCTTGTAATTAAGCTTTATAAACTGATAATATCGTATTAATTATAATAGTCGCATCTAGTGGATATTAAATTTCTACTAAAATTCCAAAAACAAACTAAGCTATGTCCCTATGTGCACAACCGAAAATGCAAACAAAATACACTGGAAATAATGTAAAATACGATAATGCGTTTAATGCCGAAAAAAAAGTATAATTTCGTCTCGGTTTTTAATGATTTTGCTTTATTTTTATTTATGGCTTTTTATTCGGAGACATGCAAGTTTTATTTAATTTTACATAAAACAACCACAAATAACATGTCTGAACACAAGTTTGGAAATATAATGGAACCTCGCTTAACGAGTTTAATTTGTTCTAAAATTTCCGGATTTTTACTCGTATAGTGAAACATATTCAAAAATACATATAATATTTGTACACAAGTTTTAAAAATGATGAGCAGGAACTTCTTATCGTCAATCGTTATGCGAAACGTCGCTCGTTAAGCGAGGTTCTACTTTATGTGTGATCACAAACAACACTAAGATTCAACTATTTCAACCATTCACACACGGTAAAGTAAGTTTATATTACTTGTATCAATCTGGGGTCTGGAGGTCTCTTTATACTTTTAATATTTGTTTATATACAGAAGCGTACATAGTTTGCTTACATAATCATAATACATTTTTTGTTTACTTTTACAGCAAACAATATTTCGCTATAAACAAAAATGACAAAAACAATCGAATATGGTTAATATATTCAAAAATACACACAAATGTGTACACAAGTTTTGAAAATGATGTAGCAGGCGCACAATCCGAGACTTCTCTTCTCATCACTAGTTATGCGAAACATCGCTCGTTAAGCGAGTCATTTCTCTTACAATTCATTTTGCTGTATATTATAAATACAAAAACATTATTAATAATATAGACTGGATATATTAATCTAAATAGAGGAATAAAATTAGTAAATAGTGATTTAATTAATACAATATTTTAATATGTGTTTCAGCTTATAATCGTATATATAAAAAATCTATAAACACGTCATTATTATGCAAATACCGAATACAAATTATTAAATTAGTTTCATTCAACATATTAATTATAACCAAAATTTGTTAGATTCGAATAAAGTTACGCTGCATCACATCAAGATAAATCTATAAAGGAAGTGTTTAGCTTCAATCGCAACGAAAATTTTGACAGTAATTGTTGTTAAATCTGTATTTATATTCGTCTGCAACGTCTTTATTGATATTAAATGCGACCATTTACATTTTTTGTTCCTTTTATCGGAGCGCCGTTATCAGATCAGAGGGCAAATAAAACTGTTCGGTTCGGTTTCGTATCGGATTTTGTCCAGTTTCCAAATCGCCAACCTGTTTTTTCGTCGGCCACACGTCGTTCCCAGAATATAATTTTAAAGTTTCTGATCCTAGAACCCGTTTGCTTTACGAGTTTACCCTCAGAACGCGCCGAGAAACCGGAGACGCCTTTGATACAACTTTTTTTTTTCACAAATAAATGCACTGCGGAAATCCAAGAAATAGGAAAAATAAGAGACGTGTTCGTGGTCTGATATGGGTCTAGGAGCTATGTTTTATATTTCTTTCTCCAACTTCACTATGCTTTGGTAAAGCTAATATTTATTTGTAAGATGTAATCGTAAATATTTGGTTTTCATGACAGAAATAGAAATACGAAGAAAAAAGGAACACCTCGACTGGGGTCTTTACTTTTCTAACATCGACTGCGATTACAAAATTCGTAATAAATTCATCTAAGTCAGTAGAAGTATTTAATCCGCTTTACTTTCCATTTGAACCATTTTTAATGCTCATTTAAAATACATATTTCATTAATTTATTAATGTTGACAACAATTTCAAACGCGTTACAAGTGATAGATATTATCGCAACTTTGAAATGTTGAACGAATTAGAAAAATAAATTCCTTTACTAAATACCGAGCAGCCAGTTAAAAAAGAAACATACATTTTCAGCATAATTCGATAGATATTCAACACCATAGCTTAGATATTTTTTAAAAGATTTTTCAAATTCTTATAGAATAGAACTAATAGTCAATAACTCAATCATTACTTTTATAATTAGTAATTTGTCAAAATTTTTAATTTATGAATGAAATATTGCATTTTAATTAATTGGTAATCATTAAACCTGTTTTCATACTTACACCAACTAACCAATTTCTCATTCAATACAAAAAATGTACATTTTCAGTTAAATTCTGTAGTTTTTACTTTAATCTAATATTATTTTAATTGGATGTTAAAATAACCGTGAAATTAAGTTATTTTTTATATTTTAAACAGGAAGATAATATTAATAAAATTATGTAGAAATTTTATAAGATTCATGATGATGGATATTATTAGGAGTTTTCTACTCATTAACTTTATGATTGGTTAAATAATGTAAGTCAAATATAAATATAATCAACTATGGTCGCCTGTATCACGAAAATCTGAAACGAAAGGTCATTGGTTCGATTCCCAAAAATCTACAATTTGTGGTGGCTCTTAAACCCGAAAAGGGTAGAAATAAGGCAGAAATATATATCAATAAACAAATTTTAAAAAAAAATAATATAAGTAACAAATGTATTTCTTATTATTAAAATAAACGTAAAACATCATATTTGAAGTAATAACAATAAAAAAGTTTAAAATAAATATAAACAAACTTATCAGTAAACTTAATTTACTGATAATATAAAACGTTAATAACAAAGTAAATGGAGTTATTAATACAGGCAACCAAATATACAACAATTGAGAAATTTAAATTTTGAACAGATACAAAATTATTGTTACTTACTCGTTTTTTCATTTTCTGAATGTTAAATCACTGAACTTTACTTGCCAAATGTTAAATATGTATCTTTAACGTGTATCACTTACTATATAATTACAGTGTATTCGTTAAATGCAAAATTAATGGACTTTATATGTTTTCTGCTTGTTTGTAGGTTTTGTCCTGTCATCTGCAAATGTTTATATTCTTGTTGCTTAGATCTAGCAAAATGAAACAAAAATTTACAGATGACAGAACAAAACCTAGATTAGATTTTTTTATTGCCGAAAGTGTACTTAAAATATAATAATACAAAGTTTATAGGCGTTATTATTTTGTTTAATTTAGTGTACAATATAACAAAAACGAATTACATTAATTAGTATTATCCCCGAGTATAACAGACACTTTAAGCATCGCAATATTGAGCATAAATAGTTTAAAGACTACATGTAAAAGAATAGTCTGTGGCTCGGACAATCATAAAAAAAAAATTATAATATCATAAATATAAATACAGAACATGTAATAAAAAAAGTACGTACTCCATGTATCACTTGATTCCCGCATTAAATATCATTTGAATGTCTAAAATGAATGATATATTTGAACTTTGGTTTCGCTTAAGAATAAAATTAATTTAAAAAATGTATACAAACAAAAATAATAACAACTACTACATGTAACCATTACGATTACATATATAAAATATTAATAATAATAATAAAATTGTGTCGAGTGCAAAAATAATAACAATAAATCTTCAAATAAATGCGTGGTAAAATACTTTTTCTTTTTCAATACTGATGATGAAAACATATTGGACCATGTGTGTTTGGTTGTTTTAAAATTTAAAAAATGGGTTGGGTAGAAAAAATGGAAGAAAAAAAAAGGAAGACTATTAAGGGTAATAAATTAAAGTTACGTCCACAATGCGCTTGGCATCATTCCCTCAACGGTGCTCGGACCGGGTGTTAATGTTTCGCTGCACAGGAAATTCAGTGGGAGCAGAACCAAATGACCCTGAAAAATATTATTTGAAAAAAAAAATAATAAAATTAAAAAAATAATAATAAGAACGTCGGTCTACTGAAATAAAAGAGCAATTGGAATGCGCGGATTAACAAACCTCTATTGTGTTCAACATCTGTTCGGATCTGGAGAGCTCGGACATATAAAGCGGTTGCTTTTTAATATGCTCCTTGAGCTGGCTGAAAGTCTCTACCTCATCGGTGGGAATGCAATGGAATACTTTGTCGTAGAACATGGTGTTCAGCTCGGCCGTCGCATACCAAATGTTCAAATAGAATTCGTCGCATATCGGATCCGTAATATCAATATCAATTCGCTCGTGCTCCCTTCCTAAAAGGCCAAGGTGCTCTTTAAACAAGTACTTTCTCAAGGATCCGGCGTATTTGCCGCATGGGAACGAATTGCCGTTCATCCTGCCATCATCAAAGTCTTGATCCTGCATATAAAAAAAAATACGTTACGATTATATCGATGTTGCAGCGTTTCATCTTCTGTATTTACCTCAATCCGCACTGCTATTTCGGAATCGCGCTTCCCAATTAACGAACGATCGTTTATATTAGCCGATCCGCAAATTACCAATTTGTCATCCACTATCATCAATTTCGAGTGTACGTAGATCAGCTCAGTTATTGGTTCACCGTTCAACGAGGAATGGGTTCTTAGGCCGTAAAACGATATGTACCGAATCGGGTCTTCAATTCCGGCCTTCCTCAACCGAGTCAACAGCGCATCTCTACCTCTGAACCATCAAAAAGAGAACCAATTAGTAAAAAATTGCTTTTGAACCCGGACGGAACTAGTTTAGAACCTTGAAATCGATGCGTAATTCCAGTGCGTGATGGCATGCAACGATGTTCCAGTCGACTCCCCGACTTCTCCCTCGAAACCAGGAAGAAGAGGCATGACCACGAACACACGGAACGTTGCGTTCTCGCTGGATGGATAATAAAAAGAAATGAATCGGTTAGTTACGTAACGTCTGGGTAGATGCGAATGCGGGTTTTACTTGTGGGCCCGGACGATGCGTTTGTAGATGGATTCGCCGATCAGATTCTTCGTGTCTCTATTGCTCTGCGGCATCGAGATGAAAAACTGGTTTTCGATGTAGATGTAATGCTGGGATTTGCTGATCGCCTCGATGTACGCCTCGTGGATGCTCTGCTCCACGTGGTCGGCATCCATAAAACCGCAGGACCATTGACTAGCGCTTCTTAAAACCTAATATAGAATTTCATTTTTATACCAATACAACAAAATAAATATACCAATATAAAAAAGTGTTTTTAATCTAGAATTAATAAATATTATATACCGCATTTTTCATAAACATTCTAACAAAATCATTGTTTACTTGTGTATAAAAATTTAGGTCTTTTTCGAATGATAAAATTTACTTTAAGACGTAAAAAATGTTTGCGCCTTGTCGACCGAAAAATATGTTAATTTCTTATACAAATGTACAAAAGATTAAACGTAATTGCAATAATTTCAAAATATATATATACATGTGCACAAAATTTAAAAAAATAAACTAAAAACGCACTCAATATCTATGTCTATTTTTCTACATAAAAAGATGCGCCTTAATTACAAACGAATATAAAATATATTAGAGGAAACACAGACAATTTAATTAATTCCAATGATTTGAAATTACGTATACATGTACAAAAATAATGTTTTCTATTTATCCATTTAACCAAAATATGTGTATATGTTTCTTTTGCACAAACCACATACTTGATTATATAACGTAAACGTTTTTTGGGCAATAAAAACAAATAACACAGTTTTATATCTGGCCTATTTATTTTTGGAACTTGTTCTGTGATTCTTCATGAAGCAGGTTTAAAGATTTATTGTGTATTCTTTACGAGAATGTCTATTATTGGATCAAAGAAAAAACGTAAATTATAATTGAATTATTATCAATACATACATTATTTTCAAATATCAAGTGTATTTGTATTAATAGTATGATATAATATCACTACATTGGATTATTTCGAACTGTTCAATTCATAAAATTTAGTAACAACAAATGTATCAAATTGCAATTTAATTTAGAAATGCAAATAATTTTTTACAAGAAAACATATTTGTTGAATAATAAATGTTTGATTTTGTGAAATGATGATGACATATACAAAAATACGATACCAAATAACTACAAACTATCTCGATCTAGATTACCACATGTGTGCTTGGTGCATGTAACGCAATAGTGAAAACAGTTCTATACTAAGAAAAAAAACATATAATAACATTGACGATTTTAGTCTATTTTAGACTTACTTTCTGTCTCGATAATAAAGCTTCTGTGTTAAGATTAAAATCCAGTCTGGAAAATAACAATGTGTTTCATCTTTGTGTTTTCACAATCTTTCATAGATAAATAATAATATTTTTAGTAGAAAATTAAACACGATTTATAGTGGCATCTCACGTCTGTAACGCAGTTGATTAAGAATGGGATTTTACACTAATAAGTTAAGTGACATGAATTCGTGATAAAGCAAGCCATGATGTTACATGATTGAAACGTGGCGCAATTAATACCATTTATCTATTAAACAAGACAGTCCTCTTCGTAATTGAGCATGTCTGCTCGTTTATATAATTTAAAAGTGCAATAAAACGCGATATTAAGAAATTTGTAAGTTTGCAGCACGAAACGTGCGTTACACGTGAATTCTAATTTTGGTTGCTGTAATAATTTGCAGTTTTGCAACAAGAAATGTACGCTACACGTGAATTCTAATTCTGGTTGTTATTAGATAATGACTAAAATTACTTACTTGGCAAGTGACGTTGTGCGTTTCTGGCAGATTTAGGTTCATATTTCGGACATCGGCTAGGGATTCATAAGACTTCGGCAGTAAATACGGATGGGATTTATTCAATTTAGCTTTCTCCAATTTGGTGGCATTCCATCGGGCTATAAAGTGCCTGGAGACGTCCCTCGCGGTCGCTCCTTGAACGTAAACGGCAATATCGTGCCATGGCATCCTCGGAGTCGACACCCTTCCGAGACAAGAACATTACAACTCGTTATTAAAAAAAAGAGCTGAGTTAATACCTGTCAATGAAATCTATAAACGGGGACTCTAAATCGTTGAAATCCTTAACTATAAAATTACAATAATCCTTTCCAATCCAATACTTAGCGGAGCCATTCAACTCTTCATATATCGAAACCTCTCGCTTCTCTTTCACTTCAATCTTCATATGCATTTGCTTTTCATTTTCTCCGTACACCATACTCAGCAATTCCTTTCCTTTCAGCTTCACGTTTTTCTTAATATTAGTCAAAGCATTCTTGCGCTCCATTTCGGGTGTGTTCATTTTCAATCTCTCGTCAGGTCTACTAACCATAAGCAGATTATCACCGGGTTGTAATTGTGGCAAGCTTTCCGACGATTCTGAAGAAATTGAAGCTTTGTCGATGCTCGAATCTACGATCAGTTCTGGTAAAGGTGGTTTTGGAAGCGGATGGAATATGTCTCCTCCGGGTATGGTCGAAGTCCTCTTCTTGAACGAAGACACATCCAGAGTAGCTTGTGTTATGCTACCCAAATCAGTTAACCTATGCTGATAATCGTCCCATCTTCCGTAGCACAAATCTAAACCTCCCAAAAAGGCGTAAGTCTGATCGACAACAACAATTTTCTCGTGGTGAGCCCAGAAGAAAACACCGACTTTAGCATGATCCGGGTGTCTGAGGACCTTTATATTTTCGTGCAATCCGCTTAGTTTCTGCTTGCTGTAATAGCTGTTCAATCCGAGCGCCATTTCGAATTCTTTGTAAAGCAAAACGAATATTTTGACGCCTTCTTCCTGTAAGGAAATTATTAAATAAATTATTTGTTTTCGCTGTGAATTTCGTGTAAATTATTACAGCTTTTCTCCTTAAAACTCTGTCCAATCTCCAATGCTCCCCTTCAATAGCTGGACGCTTCAAATAAATTTCTGGACTGAGCCACCAATCGGCTATGAATATTTCTTCTTGTGCTCCTTCCAAAGCGTCTGCAACGCAAGCCATGTAGCCTGCACCATCAACAAACCAACACGAAGTAATATTACTTCTAACAGGCGCAAACGAATGATGCGGATTTCCTTTTGTGAAATCTTTGGCTGCAATGAAAACTCTCTTTTATAAATATTTGTGCTATGATATTTTGCAATGTTAAAAACCTGTAGTAGAAGATACATCTTTCAAGGCCTCAATAAACGCCTTCTTCTGACCGCGCGTATTGCATTTAATTACAATTTGCCTACTTAATGTTTGAATCTGAAATCCCTTATTCATTCCTGTGCTATATAAACCCGATGCTACTTCAAAACCTTGATCGAAAAGTATCACGCATTTCACTCTCCCATCAGACGGATCTATGTATCCGAAACATGTATCCTTTACAAAAAACCACCTCGACCTCCACGTAGCGCACAAAACATCTTTACACAGATGTTTGCATCTATAAGTAATTAAAATATGGTTTATACATTTTTCTCAAAATAAAATAATTATTAATAAATAACCTTATGCAACAAAATCCGTAAAAACAACCAAAGAAATTACAACCGCTTTGACCTGGCTGCGTGCTTCCAGTGCGTTTCATAATCAAGCCTTCCTTACCTTTAACTCCAAGATCTGTTATAAAAGAGAGATGCGAAATTTCAAGGAATTCAATCTGTAAAAAAAATCAATGTAACTTATAATCCCATCTAATTTGAATGTTCTTACAGTGGCTGGGTGATATCTATATATGCAAATGGTTAAAAGATTTGTCAAGTAATCCTCCAGTTGCTTCATACGATGATCTAAGTGTTCATTGAGAACTAAAACTTCTGGTTTCCTAGGGAATCTAAAATAATAACTAATAATCTTACAATACAATTTCATTTATTTATTTTAATTGCCTTGGCAACATGATTTTCTTTTTCTTTCCAGTTTTCTCATCTGCAGTTGCTGTGTTTCTAAAGCTTTCCCTTCTCTTGCGATGAGTTTTTGTTGGGAATGGAATATTCAATGAAGTTCTGAAGAGCATAAGCTGCTGATGAAGATCAAAAAAATGCTTGAACCTCTTCTTCACCTTCCATGTGAAGTTACCATGCTCGAAGCAAATTGTGTATCTAATAGGAATTTAAATGTTTTCAAAACAATCCTAAATGGACAATGTAATAATCTTACAGGTAAGGATTAATCAGATGTGTGGTGTAATTTCTTTCATATTCATTAATGGAAACTTTGATTGGTTCTCCTTTAATAAAAACATCTCTGGACATTGATTTAAATTTCATAGGTGGTTTGTGTATATTCTTAAAAGATATTCTGCCAGATGTTGGTGCTAAAAACAACTGATTATAAACGCTCCAGTGAAATAAATACCATGCTCACCTCCATCATCAATATCCTTGGAATTCGCAATAATATCAATCAGCAGAGACTCTGGTACACCCAAATCATCATCAAACTCTCCATCCGAAGTCACATTTGGACTAGGTGGTCCATCCGGGTTGTTTGCAGTTAATTCCAATGTGCTTATACCTTCCATCATAACTAACAGTTGCGCTACTTTATCACTAGACTTTTATCACATATTTTTATTGCACCAATTATAACCTGTTTCCGTTATATTGTTTAGAATGATGTAAGCTAATTGTTACTCATGTGGCTTGAATTCTTAACTTTTTCTTAACAAAACTTTAAGGTCACACATCAATTGTCCTAATTACAGTTCATTTTTAGTTGATTCACCAGCACAGCTGTCCACCGTCCAACTAAGTAGCGCGAGCGATTGTTTTCATTGTACTACAATTTCGTAAACTTCTCCGAGTAGTGGAATATTGCCAATAATCAAATTTTTGTAAACGTAATTTGGCAAAAATCGAGCGGTCGCGTACATCTGGTTGCCTGGAGCACGTGATACTTGTAAGGATGTTGCATAGGATTGGTGGAAAATTTAAAAGTTACCAGCTTGTACTATTTTTATCCTTATCTTATCACGTATTTCATTTATGCCCATCCTATTTAAATTGTTTTTAAATATTGATAGTTTTGATAATATTGAGATACATACACTGGTTATTATCTGGAGAACCGTTATTTTTAATACGTTTTATAACTACTATTGGATTGTAATTTGTGATTCATACAAATAATATGCAATGAAATCGCTTTTGTTATTCATGTATTTCTAGTTGTAACGATAAAAAAATTACTGATTAACAACAATTTGCTATATTCTTACTTTGAATAATATAAAATATTTTAACATTCTTCTATAAATTACATAAGTATATTGAAAAAATATATAATTAATAATGTTCCGTTACTGAAATAAAATGCATTATATAATTATGAAATTAAAAGAAATTTTGTAACTAATCGTGATGGTAAATTTACGTGTTATAACTTTAACTCTTTAACTACTCTATCGTCAATGACGAAACGAAACTTTCGCGAAGTACGGCTGTTGTCAATAAACGATTTGATGAATTATGCTGAGATAAGGTTGTCGCCTATTGACCATTCTATATAGTATAGAAAGATTTCTTATCTCGGAACTTAATTATGATTACAGTATGCATATAAACATAATAATCATAAAATTTATTTTATCATCTTTTATAACGTGTTTTATGAGTATACCTATTTATCGAGCTATTTATTTTACCTAGATGCATTGACTGCATTTATTTTATCCACATTTTATTTCCGAATGTAGGTGTAGTAGTAATATTTCTTCTAGTGCTATCTACCTGCAATTTTGTTATAAAAATAATTATTGTTTTACCATATTGAAAATTATTATCGGATATGTCGTAAGACAAATTTTACAAAATAACATGGAACTGCAGAGTTCGAGAAGACATAGTATTGAAATAATTGATTGTTTAGTTTCAGTACATTTAATGGAAAGGCATATTAACTGCTGAATGGTTCATCTACTGAAAGTAGACAAAAAAGACAAATAATGCCATATATACTCAAATACTGCTCGAGGTGAAAAAAAAAACGTAAATATGTTACAACTTGGTCTCCCGGGTGTACAATAAGGACTGTTACATAATTTGTCGCACAAGAATAAATTTTTAAAAACCAGAAATAAAAAAATATTCACAATTTCGGTTTAGTTCTTCATTTAAAAATATGTTTTTGATAATAATATTGTGTTATTTACATAGTTTTGAAATGTTATGTAGTTCACAATATACATAAATATATCAAATTTGTCATTATTATTTTTCTTGTTTGTACAGCCAGTTTTGTGAATTATATCAGTATTCTGATTATAAAATTATAAAAATATTCTAGTTTATAATGTGGATAAAGAGCATACATTTATGTTCATACATGTAAAAGTAAACAACATAAAGTGTCAGCAATTTCCTACCCGGGGAAATTGCTGACCTATTCAGATATTATGATATAGGTGACCAGTGGCGGATTAACCATTAAGGCAACGAGTCGGGACTTTGTTGCCCCCGAATCAAGACATTTTCCTATAAGATGTTTTTTTTTATTATTTTTGATAATTTAAATAGAGACCTCAATTTTTCTTAATTCCCCATTGCAGATGACCATTTAATGAAGATTTCTATTATAAAATGTAATTAATAATGTCTAGACAAAAGTTATATCCACTCTAAGACATAAGAATCGGTGGTAATCGCAAGCCCGACAACCGAAATCCCGTGTATCAAAATCCCGAGTGTATCGAAATCCTGACAGTGTCTTTTATTATATAAATTTCTACAATAACATTTTTATGGTAATCGGGATTTCAGTATAGACGGAATTTTGATTGTCGGGATTTTGACATAGTCGGGATTTCAAGCGTCGGGACTTTAATACAGTCGGGATTTCGAACGTCGCGATTTCAATAGGTCTTTCGGTTGTCGGGCTTGCGATATTGACCCCTTAAGAACTAGTGTATATTAGTAAGATATTACTGGTAATTATTGTAAATCTTAAACTAAACTAAAAATACAATGTGTTGCCATATATTCGCATACCATGCCATATATTCCTTATTCTTGTTTATGTCTAATTTCACGCATTTAGGGATTTAATGGAAGTAGTAATATCCTACAGGAAAATTATTCAATAATCAAATTTCATAGTTGACTTACTAAAGAATTTAACGTGACTTGTAGAAATGTAACAATCCATATTTTATTAACATGAATCAGAAAAAAAACATTTAAATTGTACTATATTTAAATTAATGCATTAATATAAACTAGTGTAAAATTACACTTTAAACTAAAATATTGCCGACTTACTAAATTATTTGAAAAAAGGTATAATCACTCTCATTAATTTCTTAACAAACAAAACATAAATACAGCACAAATTACAATTTCAAAAATTATACTAAATATGAGTAATACGTTCAGATTACAAATAGAGAAATCTAGTAAATGGTTTAAAATGTATAATCGTTAATTCGATACAAGGATTCGAATATTACCTGTATCCGGTTTCTAGTTTAATTTAGAATTACATTTTTGACAATGTGCAATGCTATATGGTTATCGGTTCTGGGTAACTTGATGTTATTGAATTTTTCTTATTCGCTCCAGTGGCTCGTTGTAGGTTTTCCACGGAACAATGATTATTTTATTAGTTTTACCAATCAACGTAAACTCGACACGTTACGTTGTTTCAACTATCGTTAATGCGTTTTTTGGGGGGAAAATGTCTTTGTTTGTCATTTCAAATATAACAAATATACTTTAAATATAATGATTTCGTAATCGATATCCCTTTAACTCTATGAAGAGTCAAAAATTCCTAAATTTCGAAACCCAACAAATTTCTAGACAAATGAATCAGACAACTTTATAAAAATTCATCCTTAGACATACCAACCAAATTAAAGGGTAATTTCTCGAACTTTTTGTAGAAAATTGTAATAATGGCATGTTCAAAAAGTGTACCACAGCTCCTCAAAGAATAAAGTAGAAACATTAATATAACAAATAATTCTAATTAACATTCTAATATGTTACAATAAAATAATCAAATTAAATATTACAATCGTTACACAATATTACATGCACTTGCTTGAATAGATTCCAATTAATTCAGATAAGGATCAACTACCGTATTGTTTGCGATAGTGAATCTAGTTAATTACCTGTTATTCATTTAAAAAAAAAAACATAAATGTAATCTAAACAGTAATTCCCCTTGAACATCGCAATCAATTTATGTTTATTTATTTGATTTCTAATTCGATTATTTTACGTTAACATAATATTTCAATCTGATTTATTCAAATATGAGATTTGTTTAGATAAAATATATATAAATTATATTTTTTAAAAGCATTACTATTTGCTTGTAGTCACGAGCAATTGCGTTTAATAGATATTATTGTATGAATTAATATTTATATCATTAGTATTTGATTTAAAAAAATTAATTTCTTAGACGAAGGCTAAGATTCTAATTTACATTCACTTCAGGTGAAGAAGAAATGGAAGACGAAGTATGATAATCAGATACTTTTTTTTGTTATTTAATGGAACAACTTTCATTTTTAATTATTTTGTTTGATGTTGAGATACTTTGGAATTTCATCGAAACAGAATCAAATCATGTTTTAAGTGTTTACTTAATTAGTAAATTAACTAAGAAAAAATAGTCTACGGATTTCTTAATGTGGTCCTCCAAGAATCGAAAGTCCATCTTCCACTGTAATTTATAACTCTTTGATTTTACTTTAATTTCAATCCAATTTGTCAAGTATTCCAAATTCAAATTTAATAATATTTTGAGGGAAGATATATAGATTCTACAAATCAGTATTACTGCCTAAATGATTCTATTAGTTGCAGTTTCATGATTATTATATATGAATTGGTTGTTATAATTTTGCCTGTTACAAAATTATATATATATATATATATATTTTTATGTTATGTAATTTTATTTTACAATCTGTTCATCAATGTGAACATTGAGCAAATTTAAGATCGCGCTTGACATTAAATGGATAATCTTTCCCGGTGGATAGTTACCATTATGATGATTTTTTTTAATTGGCTGTTAGATTGGCTGTCGTCTTGTAGGTTAACTACAGTAGTATATTGATGCTCTGCGATTCTACTATTTTCTTTGACTGTGAATCTGCAGAGATCCTTAACACTGTCATTGTTCATCGACTTGACTGAAGGTCCATATAGTGAACCTCATTCATTTCACTGTGATGAACGATTGCTGCAAGCACCGAGAGGGCTCACAAAGGGCTTGGCTTGACCAGGATTTGAACCTGTGACCACTAGCATGTGGGTACATATATTTATTGAAATGTTTCTGTATACATCAATTTGAAATTGTTGGATTTATATAAAAATAATAATAATGAAGAATCAGGTAATGTTATTTTCCAGAAATCATAATTTTGTAGAGGATATAGAATGTTTTGTTCAAATGAGGACGGTGTTTATTTTGTATGTGATGTTAAAAAATTGGATACTATAAGAGTTTACCAAAATCTCACACATGTAGTAATCTAAAGACGAAACCTGATTTTCCGACTTAATATGCATATTTAAAGTTAGAAAAATCAAGAAGTTAATAGTTTATTTGAAGTTGGTTGTCTATAATAGTTTAGAACAGTGGTTCTCAAGCCGGTCCGCGGATCAAATGGTACCCAAGGAACATTAAATTATTTCCATTTCATTTTAACTCACTAGAATCTAGTGAGTTAATTGTTAAATCATTTTATATTCAAATTTTGGTGTAACTGTATCAAAGTCGTTCCCGCTAATTAGTATTCATTGATTATTATAGTAGTTGCGTGAATTGTCATTAAGACTAATGAAGATTTGCAAATAAATAAATAATGAAAAATTATTTAGTTTAAGCAAGGAAATACATTTTTAAATTTATTACACACCGAGAACGAATTAATATGCATGCTTGAGAGGCGAGTTTCATCGTTGCGACTTTCTAAAAGTTCCCTTAGATTCCTT